TTTAGAACAAATGTTACATATAGATCTATTAACTTAGTCATTAGATCTGTCTCAGTGCAATGCCTAGTTTAATAGTTAGTATAGGTCTAAGTATGCCTATAATATAGGCTGCAATTTGTATGATGATGGACCTAGGGTCTAGAAATAAAGGTATAACGCAATTAGACCTAAAGTCTAGTACATTAGTTTGTGTAAGACATGATTTACAATCAACCAATACAATTACAAACCACTACATTAGGCCTATAATGTTTACTAGATTTAGATCTATGCCTTGCCTGTTGCATATATTGTCAATCTTGCACACCAGTTAATATGTTACATCAATCTCATATTTTCTTTTTGTTGAACATACACTTACTTATACGTCATACTCTAGGACTTGTATTTGATCTACAGATGAATGATGGAATATTGTAATTTACTTCTGTACGTCAATTCGGTCTCACAGTATTTCAGTGGGCGGCTTTTAAAAGTTAAAACTGCAAGCGTAATACACACAAAGAACGTAACACTGTGTTGTATTTACTTAACGTAGGGCAGTTGCGCTATATCCTAAAGGAGGGCATAATTATTAATTAATAGGCATTAGAGGCCAGAGGAAATTTTGCACCCCTTCACACACCTGTGCCCGGGGGCTACTGTAGTAACTAATTATAAGTTTATAAGCTTCCTTACAAGGGTTTCTGGCATGGGGATATTGTTTCATTCGTATTAATCTTTACTATTTACTTGTATTTTCTGAGCCAAAGGTAGGATTTAAATTTTCTTGCCATCTGGCTTAATAATGCATGCTTTTTGCCCTTTTGTTTAGAATTATATAGAATAAACATTTTTCTTCCATCAAAGATTATTTTTATGTGAAATAATTTAGATAGAGCCTAAATCAGTTAGAGATAAGCATGATCCAAAGAAGTTTTTTGGGGGGAGAAAATATACCACAAAGTATTTGAAATTATTTTCATTAATTAAAGACTTTTATTTACAACTAATGTTTTAAATGTCTCAGTTTCCAAAATAATTTTCAGTATCATAAGTAATAATTTTGTATGACAATACAGAATTTGTAGATCTCGTAGGATATTACATTCATGTTTATCATACATTGTTAAATCAAAAAGTTTTGCTATTCAAAAATCTAAACAGTGTTTATTTCAGTTACATTCTATGACATAGTAAGACATCTTTGAACTTAAATGTAAGCCAGAGATTCTGTTCAGCAAATTTCCTAAAAGAAAACTGTTGAACAAATGTTTGAATCTTACTGATCTAATTTATTACCTGCTATAACATTATCATTTCCCTTTATTACCCAAAATTTACTGAAAAAATAATTGTCAAAATGCATACAAATTCCAACATGCATCAGTATGTCAGTTTGCTTTAGAATTGAAAACAGAATGTCTAGAAGCAACTTTTTCACTAGAAAAATCACTTCTTGTCACAGTGATCAGTTAAGAATTATTGTACTGGTCACCACACAGAATGAAACAATTTTTGCCTCATACCTGTTCACTTTTAACCCTTAATAAATCCATAAACATGCATGTTAATGGGGAAAAATTCTTTGATTTATTTTGGTTTTTGTATTAATGTAACTGCCATTATTTCCATATATGTTGATGACATATGTTTGATTTCCTATTATGTGAATATAGTTTATTAAAATTAGTCCTATATATAATGCTGTAATCTCATTCAAACAAGTGCTTTGCAATCACTTGCTAATGGCCATCTGTTGAGGAATGTCAGAGCATCGTAACACTTATTGCCAGTAATTTATTACATTTTCCAAAGGCACATACTTGTGATCTAAACGTGAAACATTACCCATGACATTTAAAATCTATCTAAAAATATATTTCATAACATACACTTTTCTCAATATATACTTTACTGTAAAAATTTGTCTTATTTTAATTTTTCTTAAATTTTAGCATATTAATCTTAAATCGCTATGGTTAACATCACTGCTTTCATAATAATATGCTTTGCATTTTTAACAATAACATAGATGGATCTTGCTGCCAATCCTCTCCATTTACATGCCAACCTATAAAATGTTAAAAAGAGATTGATTTTACCTAGTTCAGACTGACAAGCATTTTCCGTCTCTGCCAATGATCTTGCTTGTGAAACATTGACTGACTGGTATTGACCAGTTAACAGATTTGTTGTAATAGGATAGGCAGAAATTTATGCATGAACATCTATAATAATAAAAGGACATGTCTGTGGGTCTGTGACCACCATAGCTCCAAGAACAAAGAAACCAGAAAACTTGTACACATACTAAGTGTACCCTGAGGGTGTGCATGTGGGTATTATTACTTATCCAAGCAAATGTACATGTGCATGTTTTTGTGAGGTAAGCAAGTGAAAAAACACATAGAAAAGAATATGGGCAATATCTTTGCAAATAGAAAGGATAAGACATTCTTATTTTATATTCTAGCTTGTCAATATTGGTAATTTGAGTTCCTAATTTGTACAAAACTATACACTTAGTATTTTGACTTCACAAACATCTAATTTGAATCAGTGCTGTATTCAACATACCGTGTGACACACACAAAAGTTGATGTTTATCTGTGATTTTTTAATATTTGCTTTTAAATTGAGTAATATATAGTACTAAAATTTGAATTATAATCTACAGTTTGATACCAAAATTATTGACATAAATTCATGAAACAGTAGTTCAATAAAATTTTGAATGCGAGTCAACAAAAGAGATGACATGGCTTTTCACCCGTGACCCATCTTGAAAGGGTTAATCAAAAACAACTTTGTACAATTATGAGTAAAGTACTGCAATATTTATAAAATTATTTATTTTCATAGTTTAGTGTCAAATTCCGAAAGTGGGTAAACTTATAAATTTTTCTAATGATGGTTAGATGAAAATATATGCTATGCTTGAAAAATTAAGTATTAAAAAAATTAAGTGATAGGCTAATTTTTTTTATAATAAGTGTAGTTTGTATTAATGAGACACAATCATCATTAAAATAAATAGCTAAGTGATACGTGTTTCCAATAATACTGAAATTTTTATCACCAACTTTATTAAGACATAGGGATGTATATAGCTTTGAAATATGCATGCTTATTCTGCTGGGTTAGCTTAGCTTATTATTTATTCATGAAAAATGGTTAATGCAAAATATATGTTTTAATATTCACAGTGTTTTGGGCTGGGACACCCTTCCTTTGGTAATTTTAAACTTCAATGGAACAGAATGTTCGATATCACAAGGATTATCAAAAATAGAACAATCAAAATTAACATCATGCAACGGATCTAATGTAGCATACATGTGAAACACTGGCAAAACAATGTTTTTACGATAGGATAATATATATTATATATCATTATAAATGAAAATACAGAGTCGAAATAGGAATAAGAATCAAACGAAGTTTGAAATATATTTGTAAAAATGTCAATATTAACAGGTAAATTTGGTGTTTTGCATTGTTGCAAAGCAACAATGTCATGTTTCTAAAGTTCAAAACACAGCTAGTGCTGTGGGGTCTAAAAAAATAAATAAAAGTTTAATTAAGTGAAGAACACACACACACACCAACATAGGTAGGGTTATAGAAAATAGAATTCATTTATTCCATTCGGGTGAATGATACCAAGTGGATAGATGAGTTCATTTTCATCCTGTTGTCTCTCTTTCTTGACTGTCGATGAATAACAGAGGGCCAGGATTCCGAAGTGTCTGTTGTGGTCATTATTATTGTAAGGCTTATCCATAGGTTTGTCAGTATCATAATTCTGGATGTTACGTATGTGCTTGTTCAAACAACTTCTGACTTGTTTCTCCTATGTACAGTTGTTCACACTATAAACAAGTGATGCAAGAAATTAGGCACTTGAATGTACAGGTGAATAACTCTTTGATTGTATACCTCGAGTTGGGTCTTAATACAGAAGTACTGGTGTTGCATCCTGAATGTGTGCCACACTGAAGATGGGTGATTTCTTCTGGTGTCTTCAACTGTGCACAAACTAATAAATCTTTCAGGTTTTTTACCATGAGACAGTGGTAAGTCTATGGACTTACAGTGCTAAAACCTAGGGTTCGATTCCCTGCTGTCAACACAGCAAATTGCCTAATGTTGCTTTTTTCTAGAAACGTTAAATTTTAAAATCACCTGAGGAAGGTCATCCCAGCCCAAAATGTTGTGAATATTTAAAAGTCTATTTTGCATTTGCTATTTTTCATGACATAAGTTTCTTTTCCATTTTTTTTTGTTTTTAATATTGTAGTAAGTCTAGTATTTACAGACAATTTCCCTATAACTGCATCACAAAACTGAAAAAAAATTATGGTTTGAAGTTTTTACATGATTTTTCAATACATGTGTTTTTTTCCTAGGAACTCTTTGAAATGTATAGACCCACTATTGATGGCACCTACTTGTATATTCCTAGCTTCCAAAGTGGAGGTATGCTTTACTTTTGTTTCCAAACTATAAAATATATAGATAGATAGATTTAGATAGACATACTGTTCTTTTCTATTTTAACTAATAGTAAATTTACTAACATCCTACATGTTTGTTTATGTTATCAATGCTTTGTTGATGAATCTTTTTGATTTTGTAGTACCTTTTCATCTATGAAGATAATGGTACATAAATGTAGATTAACATAGTAGTTATTAACTCTGGTGTTTTCTTTTAAAGGAGTTTGGTGTAATATCAAACAGCCGGTTAATTTCAACGTGTCAAACAGTTGGTAAGTACCATTATAATTTTTAAAGTTAAACTTACAGGTATTAAAGTAAAATTTCTCAGATTAATTCTAGGAGCCTTATTCCCACTGCTAAGACAATAAAAAAAAACTTCCAATGTCAAGAGTAGGTCCCTCAGTTTGGACCGTGGTAAGTCTACGGACTTACAGTGCTAAAATCTGGGGTTTGATTCCCTGCCTAATGTTGCTTTTTTCTAAAAACAAACAAGCATGTCAATATTGGTTTTTTTTTCTATCTTCAAAAGAAAACTAAGAAATTATCTGAAATATTTTAATTTGAACATTTTCTGTTCTTAGAACTATAAATTTGTTATTAGATATTATTTCTAAAATACTGATTTGATAAAATTCTGTTTATTTTTTGCATGACAGAGCTTTAATTCCTTTGATTGTTAGAATAATGGTGGTGCATGGAATTTTAGATACAGACAGCAATTTCACTACTACTTTTAAAAATGAGTAATAAAGCCAATTATAAATATTTTCCATTTTATGCCACTTAACTGTTGATCATTTGTAACTGTTATTATAATAAACTTAATGAGGGTAGACTTTTACAACTGAACATCTCCAGCTTTAACATACGAAGCATATCATATGGTATAAATTATATAACTTGTAAATGTATACATGATTGTACTTGCTTGACTTTAGATGATTTCATTGTATTGTTACTAGAAAATATAAAGTTAGAGAATACCACTTGCTTATTACTTTTACTGTTGAATTTCAGTCTTATACAGTGAAACCTCATTAATCCAAATACATTTGTTATGAAGTAGTTCTTCTGGATTATCAAAACATCTTGATAGTCAAATTGGTCAAGTTGAATATAGTGAACACTATTAATAGCATGTGTAATCGATCAATAAATGTAAGGGTGCAAACTAAAGAAAGAGAATGCAACTTGTAAAGAAAAACTAAAGCCTTAGAAATTTACAGTTTATGTCATTATGTGTTATCTTGTGTAAACAAACATAATGTTTTAATGATTCTGGTATTTTGGAGCACTGTGAGTAAGTGTGGTTGTAGCCTACTGTGAAGGTTGTTATCGGAGAAGTTATCTTAAACTGATACCCACTGTAAGTGCAGGTGATATGTGGCCAGTAATTATAACATCATTTCCTGTTCTGATTGACCCATACTTGACTCCCATTGAGTCATGCACAAATTACTGATTCAAGTATCCATAGAAAATGCATGTTTATTACAAGGAAGAGCTATTCAGAACATGAATATATGGATTATTGATTAAGTTTGTTGTTGTGAATATTTGTCAGTGTCTGGACTAAAGAGGTTTCATTTTATTAGGAAACTGTTAAAAAACTAATATAGGGGGAGTGTTTCAAGAAGGAAAGTTTTTGTCTAATAAAGCAGGTTATTTCTTTTTCTTTCTTTTTTTAAGAATTTTTATTTACTTGCTACCAAATAAATGTGTATGTGATTTAAAGTAAGAATGGTCCTTAAAATATTTTAAATGCTAGACAAATGTTAAATACACTTTCTTGAATTAAACAGATTGTTTAGGTTTTATAGAGTAGATTGATCATTTGTTAAGAGCAACAGATAATTTTATAACTATGTATTTGAGCAAACTGTAGAATTGTATTAATATACCAATGTCTTTTCTTGATAGTTTTACATAAGTTAATTATACTTGTATAATATATATTTAAGTAAAATGGATAAATGATGATACATGAAAATATCAATATTTTTTTACATAAAGATAAATAAATGTATTTTTAACTTGTGTATTTATAATGAAAAAATATTATTTACATATGTCAAACTATTGTTTTTCTTGTTTCAGTAAAGAATAAATTTTCTTATGCCTATCCACAAGAATTTCCATACAGAATAAGCCATGTTCTAGAGTGTGAATTTTTCCTTCTAGAAATGATGGTAAATATGCTTTTTTAATTTCTCTCAGAAAACTGTGTGTTATGCAGAATTATGAAATCTGACCTGGTTTTGTAGTAGCGTCATTAGTGTGATTTTCATGCTTGGGTTTCTTTTTATTTATAATGGGTAATGCTGTTTTTTCTTTAAAATTAATTTTATAATAAATATATTTACATAGTTTTATACATTGCATCTGATGGTTTAAACTTGGAATAATTTTCCAAACAAAATGTCGTTAAGTTTTTGCACTATTTTGTCAGATTATTTGCAAGTTGCTCATTGTTTCTAGGTAGTTGTAAATCTGTCTTATTTATTGTTTATTTTGAGACCTGGTCATTATTTATACTTAAGTTTAACTTTAAAAAAAAAAGTGAAAAAATGTTTTCCTTGTAGCACCATTCCCATTTTCTGTATAAACTTGTGAAGTAAGCTTTAGTCTAAAAGCAAATCAACATGACTAACCATGGTTCTGTTGTAGGGTTCTCTTATCACCAGACTCCCTGTAAAACAGATTGGTAATAACATCCTGTTTTAACCATCAATAAGCCTTTATTATTAGATCAAATAAAATTGCTTAATATGTTAAAAATTTTATTGTAGTTTAAAAATGAGCAATACTAAATTGTTATTGCTCATCCATATCTTGATTTCACAAAGTTATTATTATTGCACTACATTAAACACTTTTTTGATATTCCCTCCACTAATTTTTGACTCGGAACCTAAATTTTGTTAAAATAACCAAAGAGACCAGGAAAGTAATGCATCTAATAGTTTACAAGTTATCTTAAAACTGAAGAGGAAGGAATTTTAAACATCAAGCAGCAATCTTATTAATGGGCAGGAAAGTATGGATATATATCACACTATTCACTATAGTCTTACTATACGAACAGTTGCCATTGCAAGACAGTCTTAGCTGAAGAGAAAAATAAATTATTTCAAGGAATTTCCACAGCTCTATTTAATGTGAAGAAAGAGGGAGAAAGTATGAGTATACTTCCATAAGTACGGAAGAACATTAGATTAGTAACTCAAAAGAATTGAAGTACATTTAGTAAAATTTTCATAGTTTTTATAATGAGAAATTAGTGACAAAAATGTTTATGCAGTTGGAAAACTTATAAAGCTCTATTTGTTCTGTAATTTGTTCAAAAATTTCTAAGTACTAAATAAAAAATGTACATTACTAGGAATATTTCAACATTGAATTCCAGTACTGAGAAATAATATCAAATAGAACATGATGGTATCAAAAGTTTAGCATATTTTCATTATTCAAAACCTTGCCAATTTAAAAAGATTGTTATAATAGAAAGAATTCCTAATTTAAAAAACTTGGAGGGCTTAAAAGAAACATTAGAAGATGTAATCTTTACCCTTAGTAGATATCATGATAGACAAATAAGGTTAGTCTAAGTCTAAAGAAAATATCAGTTATTACATTGGATTTAGGCTAAAAGCAAGAGTTAATTTAATATATCAGTTTTTATTGACACATGAAAGTTGAATTTTATTACAAATAGTCATCAGCCTTGAATTTAAGTGAAACTATTGGCTCATGCTCTGATTTATGACTTTCTCAAGATACTTGCACATCTGAAAAATATTTTTTAATATAATTTATTTCTGAGCAGTTCCTGAATACAATAAGTAACTACTCATTTTAAGATTTTGTATGTAATGTTTTTCTTTAGTTTTATTTATATTTTAAGGTGAAAATATTTTTAAATAGCAGCATTTTTATCTATTGTTATATCTTGCAGTAAACAATAAAATTAATTTTTTATCTTTATTTTACTTAAACATCTTAAAATAATATTATTAAAAGTTTTTTTGTCTTTCTCATTTTTTATAGGATTGTTGCTTGGTTTTATATCATGCATATCGACCACTAGTTCAATACGTTCATGACATTGGACCAGAAGATAATCTTTTACACATGGCCTGGTAAGTTTTTAAATGTTTAATTTTTTATGTGTCTTCTGATTGCTTCTGCACATAATTTTTTATGTAAATTGATAATGAAAAATTATAAAAGCAACCTTCTGATATCTTTCATATATTACGAATTAGTTTAGTTATTAGATTTATTGTGGCTTTTATTTACATTATATAAGAAAATTGTGATTTGTTACTAAAGCACAAGTACAGAACCATGATCATTTTGTTAGTTGAAAAAATTAGTTTTGGTTGAATAGTTGAGTATTAATATGACTAAATAACAAAACTTGATTTTTTGTAACAGTATGATCTAAGCGTTTAATACTTAAGTTATGAGATTTTAAAAAATGATTATAAAACTGACTTTCCAAGATACTGTACATAACTACCAATTACGAACATACAACATCTATCTTTTACACTGTTGTTAAAGTTTAACTGTGTATATAATATAGCACTGTATAATTTGTATACAACAAAGGCTTCAGTGTAGTAGATACACACACACATGCAATGTTGGAAATTCAACCCCTAATGTTGATACCAATATAAAAGTATTTTAAGCCCCTAAAACAGAAACTTGCCTTGCTAAGGTAAACCATTAGTTGCCATTATTATTTTCTGAAAATTTGACTAAAAGAACTAATTTTAAAAAACATAAATTCTTTGACATCATATCCATCCATAATATGTACTGCACAGATATTCATCTGAAAGTTGTGTTTGCATAATGCTTAATATTGTTATTTGTACATTTAACAATTCCTTTGGAACCATCCAAGATAAGCTTGGATTGTTTTCATATATACCTAAAAATAATGGTTTTAACTCTGGATATCTACCATTTTTAAATTATTGCATGTTGGATAGTCAAAAAGAAAAAATGCATGAGCAAATCATTAGTTAAAAAAATCTTAAAACTTGATACAGAAATCTGATATTTTGTATATGAAAGCCTTGTAATGTTTACTGATAACCTGCAAAATTTCATTAAGATATGCTTACTGTTTTAAAAGTTATAGCATGAAAACTATAACAAGCAAAAATGGTTTCACAGATACTGTTAGAGGCAAAATTGATCAGTACTATACTGATTATGACAAAAATTATCTGGATCCCTGATGTTGAATGGCACTCTCTAAAAGGTTGTGACATGTTGCACTTTGGCCTCCACCTTTTCACATAATGTTAAACTGATTTAAATAGTAATTTTGATTTTAAGATAAAAATACTTTTATATGTCAGAAAAGTTTAAAATTTCACATGCAAAATCTTTATAACCTCCAGAAAATTATCAAATTTTTTTTTAGAAAAAACTTTATATTTTATCTGTTATTTTCACTATTGTATCTCTGTATGGGTTTGGTTAATTTGGCTGACCTCGTAACCAACATAAAAAATTAGGAAATAGATATAAATTATGCTTTTTTTTGTTCTAGCATGACTACAAATTATAACTCAAAAACATAAATGTTTAGTCTGAATAGCTTAAATCTCATAATGTTATATATATATATATATATACAATTTTTATTTTATTCGAGTTTTCAGCCATGTCTTACTAACTTTGCAGAAGCTGCAATGATGCAGTGCACATGCAATAATATTACTTTATTCAAGAATATAAAATTGGCCTTTACAAAATGACCTGTCTTGGCTGTGTTCTAATAGACCAGTATTTTATAAAATACAGTCACATTTGGGTTATAATACATTATATAAGTATATACATTATTACTATTTACAAGGAAGTTTCTTAAATTTCAATTATTTTTCTTAAAACAACAGTAAATATAGAAGTGTAGAAAACAATTCTGTCTTCCATTTACAAACTTTTTACTCATTTGCTGCTTGCTGTAAGTTGCTAAGCCTTATTAAATTTTGCAAGTGAAGGATGTAAAACAAAAAATTTTTTTTAGGTTTTATATATGCATATTGGATTAACAAAAAATCATAAATTACTATA